TTTCAACCAACAATGCACTGCACAAGCACAGAGAGAAATAAGCAATTCCTGCCAGTGCATAACCTGTTTCTCTCTAAGCATTGGCGCTTCAATCAGATATGTATGAGAAACCTATAAAAACAATGGCAATTAAAAGCTATGAAGAACAAATCAGAACTGTCAATGTGTGTATTGAGGATTCTTTATTTAATGGTATGGTGGAATATCTTTGGGAAAGTGGTCAACTTAATAAAAATGAATAAAGTCCAAAAGCTTGCGTCCGCACTCATAACAGGTGCGATGAGAACAACACCATCTAAACTACTGTTTGCCCTACTAAACTTTATTCCGGTAGACTTATATGCCAAAGAGACCGCAAGTGGTGCGGCTATGCGAATGAGCATTCTAAAGAAGTGGTCAAATATTAGTTACAGTCACTTTTAATACTAGTACTAACGGAGTTTTCGGGGCTTCCCGGATTGGTGGACCATGCTCTGCCGAACCCTGCTGCCAGTAAGGCGTTCTCCTACAACTACATACATATTTTATTTATTTTCGGCGAGACAGCAAAAGTAAGTAAATCGGATGACACTTTATGTGCCACCTTGTATAAAAACCCTGCTCAGTTCACCTAATATTTCCGAATATTTTCTCTCGCTTACGAAATTGTACAAAAATAAAAACCATCGAAATACCAATGTGCATTGTCATTTGCACGTATGTAAAACTTCAAGAGTTTGGCAAATTGCTTCACTTAAAGTTGCCGGTGTGACTCTGCTATAAATTCTTTAGATACATGATATTTTAATTCTTTGCCATGCACGCGATTTTACATTACCCCTCCATGAGAATGTGCAATTAATGGCTTTTAGGCGCGACATGCTGACTATAAATTTAACTAACAATAAGTAGAAATTCCAAAACTCTTTAAGTTTTGAGTTATTTAAAAATACATACATATATAGAAATGCAGTGGCAAAAGAACACATACATTCATAAATACATGTATTTGCATTCTGACTTTCATTTGTTTTTGCAAGAAAATCAATAAAAAGAAAATCTCAAACATGGTCAAGTTGGCAAGTGAAGTATTTCCGAGTGCTGCTGTTTTTATTGTAGTTTTAGTTAGAGTAGAGCGAAAATTAATTTCTAGCTAGTTATTGTGGCACAAATTACCAAATATTTTGGCTTGAAATGTCTTTGGAGCAAATTAAAAAAAAAGAAAATTATAATGGACTCTGAATACACCGTGCGACAGTAAATTTTACACACAAAAGAAACAATATATTCGCGAAACTATGGGTAAATTACAGTAAAACTGCATACTTAGTTTTTCTCTGGTCAGGTCAGGATTTATTTAAAAGGAAAATATGATTATCTCAAAAAATTATTTCAAAAATTCGGCGCAATGTAGGTTAACAATAAGAGTGTCATATAAAAGAGAAAATTCTGTACAATTATAACAGAAAATATTTTTCCGTGCATATGGACGAATGTCCATGTGCATATGTCCATTAAAAATTTTGTTCTTAAATATCCTTGAAAATTTTGAATATTGATTTTTTTTTAATTATTGTTTCAGGACTAATATACGCACGACCTCATCATCATTGAATTTCGTCCTGCAAAATTTATTAACTTAAAAATATAAAATTTATTAAAAGCGCATTTTCAATACCTACTGGGTTTTATTACTGGGAATCTGTGTGAAGAGAAACAGGGTCCTCCTATAGAAAAATGTTGATTTTCGAGAATTCTATACCATTTCTACCAAAAGTGTCAATATTTTCCAGATCAAATACATGGAAAACTTTGAGCGTTTTAAGAAACCTTTAAATATTTTTTGATTTCAAAATAAAACAATAGGGGTATATTTTTTCGTTAAAGAACAATCCTAGGGGTGTGAGAGCATACAAATTCCGACTTTACTTTTTCACATGCATTTTTGGATCACACTAATGCACATCTACACAAATATATGTATGTATGTATGCTTAAGATAAAAATAACATGAGCGATTGCAAGGTAGTTGATGTCCTTTACTATGTAACACCTCAAACGCGTCGTACTCAAATGCAAATGGGTCAAATGCATCGGATAACACAATAATACATATACATATGTATGTATGTATATGAATGTGTTGTCAATACGTATAAGCAAGTGAGTAGCTGACGTTAAAAGCAAACTTGTTTTATTTTAAATTTCAAACAAATAAATAAACACCAATGTTGTAATCATAAAATCTTATGTGCATTTTACAAGAATAGAAATTGCAAATTTTTGTTATCGGATATGAATCGGTGTGTATGTTAATACACTTATGTATAGTGTTTATTGCTTATCAGATGCATATTGTAGTTTATTAACACAACATGCATTAAGTTTCGACAACTTAAAATACATACTTATGTACATACTTACAATCTGGTGTAACGTAAAATATATATGTACTCTACACCACTGTTCATAGTATATGTAAGTACATATGTATGTATTATATCCTAGTGACCCAGTTTCGAGTGCAGTGGCGGATAAAATAATAACTTGTATAATAACATGTATGTATGTAATTATACCTTTTGTTTTCGATGATGTGCTTACATATTTATGTATGAGTGTACATATGTACACGTACTATTTAAATACGCATTTGTATGCTTAGGGTCATTTTCTCAAGTAACCTGTAACCTTAAAGCTCACTTTATATTGGAAAAAAACTAAAAAAAAACTTACATACGTCAAAAACCGATAATAGAAATGCTAAATTTTAGTCATAGGTTTATTTTTAATCTAACCTTTGAATAAAAAGTGAGCTTTAAAGTTAAAGGTTACTTCAGAGAACGGCCTTTACAATGCAATTTGTTTACATTCATTTGTAAAAACTTGGTGTCTATTGAGTTTTTATGGTTTGTGTCATACATATATGCTATTCCCATGAATTATGAGCTTAGCTTTTAATCAGGCACCTTAAATAACAGTTAATTTTTTTAACAGTTAAAATTGGCCAGCTATTGTTGAAATGTTTAAACGACGAAAGACAGCGGAAAACAGCCATTGAAAAATATTTCAATAAAAAATATTATTTAATAAATCTCAAAAGAAGTGGTAAGCTTCGTTCGTTATTTCTGTTTAAAAGCTATTTAAGTCCTCTTTCATTTGATACCAAATTTGTTGAATTTGGATAAGCAGTTTGTTTACTACTTTCATTTTCTTATCACACAGAGAGAAACAAAGTGGTTGTAGGATTTTTGCGACTGATCCAGCAGTCATATCGGCCTAGTCAAATTCTATGCACAAAATGCACGTACACATACTTACTACTTTGGTACTCACAATTTTTCGTTACTTGTGTATGTGCACTTCACTGCGGAATTATTATTACTGGTCATGCATATGGATGTTAAATTACCGTTGTGTAAATTGCACATTTTTTTCCGCTTGCACTTAAACATGTTGCATACTTTTCGGCACGCTTCAGTATACCAGTAGGAAATCAAATACTTTTAATATAAAATGGCCACGTCAAAGCGCTTAGCAGTTTTAGCAATTAATGGACGGCAAAAAACTTAGGTGAAATTCTCAGGGCATTCTCGTTTAAAGCTAAGAACCGAGCTCTCAAGAAAAAAATCACAAGAATTATTTTCCATTATTTCTGTTGCTTGAAAAAAAAAACACTCTGCTTTTGCTATAAATTTTCTTGAAGAAAAAATGTACGAACCTTTTTTTTCTTGAGAGCTGAAAACGGATTTAAGAAAATTTGGTAAAAGAAATATTTTTTTTCCGTTTCTTGCGGCAATTTTATATGGACTTTTTGTTTTTCTTGAGAGCTGGAAACAGCCCTTAAGGGAAAAATATATTTGTTAAATCTTTCGCCTTTTTGTTTTACAATTGTTTTCGTGTTTAGAAACTTACCACTCATCACCTTTTATCCACTGCTTAATAGTAAGACATGCTAGTAGAAGGACCTTCCAATGCCTGCTGCCACAGCTGTGGTGATGATGTAGGATTTGAGGATCTTGGGTTTGTTAGCGATATTTTTATTGATTTTGTTTTCGATATTTATCGAATTTGTTTCGATATTTATCGATTTTGTTGTCGAAATTTATCGATTTTGTTAACGATATTTATCGATTTTGTTGTCGATATCTATCGCTTTTTTGATGGATATTTATTGATTTTGTTATCGATATTCGCTATCGATTTTGCTATAGATATTTTTATTGATTTTGTTATCGATATTTATCGGATTTGTTATCGATATTTATCGATTTTGTTATCGATATTTATCGGATTTGTTATCGATATTTATAGATTTTCTTATCCATATTTATCGATTTTGTTATGGATATTTCTATCGAGTTTGTCATCGATTTGGTTATCGATATTTTTATTGTCCAAGTGTGCCCGCCTTTCTGGGAAAACTACCGTAATCTAACCCAACTTAACATATAGAACGCAACTTGTTTATCCAACAATTTCCTACAGTACTTTAACGCGCACAAGGAAAATGAGTGCGTGCAACTGTATTAAAGCGAAGTTCCGGCAATCACATACAGTTAAATACACACTTATGACTTTACACACATACTATATGTATATGTATAACGTCTATGGCGCATTCGAAAATTTTCTAGTGAAAGTGACGGTCGCTGCAAAAACTTTCGAGCAACTTTATGGCGCAGACAAATCTATGAACCGCATACATATATGTATATGGAATTGCGCCTCAGTTGATACGAGTTCATATTTTCATATGCGATTCATTGGGTTTTTATTTATTGTATTTTATTGCACAATAAACTGACGTCAAGTGCGATATATCGATTGAATTGCAGCAGAGTAACCTTCGAGTACAGACACAATGTCTGTGAATATTGAGTCAACAGAAAACGAAAGTATTTATTAATATTTTTATGCTGAAAGTTGCCTCTTACCTCTTTAATATACCTGTATGTGTGTATGTATGCGCATTACTTAGTCAATAGTAACTTAATGTATTTGTAAGCACTTTCACTTACCCCTGAACGTAAATCCAATAAAGTATCATAATCGACAATATCCAATTCCTCCCACGTTTTGGGTGGCAGCGGTGAGGGCGTCTGTGCGCGTGGCATATGTGTTGTCTGTGTGGCGTGCGTCGTCAGTAAGGTGTCAATTTTCTCGCCTATACTAGGTTGCGCGCCCTCTCTTACCACCTCAGCACGTCGTGCGCTGCGCGAACGCACTGGCGAGGGATCACGCTGCAAGTTGTGCATCACCTCGATGGGTTTGTGTGGTGTCTTAGGACTGATAATGCTATCTACAGGACTGATACTGTGTCGCTTGTATGATGGCGAGAATGGTGATAAGTTGGCGCCGGTGCCGGCGCTTGTCACGGAGTCACGTCGCTTGGGTGGCGAATGAGAATCGTGTGTATTCGCAGAAGAGCTTAAAGGGCTCGCGTCGTCTGCTGTGGACGCAGCGCCGCCACCATCGTTGGCAATGCTTGACATTTGCGCACGCCCTGGTGATTGTGCTGTTCTTGGACGCGCCACTGGTAAGCGTTCTGCCTCCGGCGACGACACCGGCAGCGGCTTGGTGTTGTCATCGATTATTTCCACGCTCAATGCCATAGTCTTGCTGTTGTTTGTCTCCTCGGGCAGGGGACTGCTAGTGGCGGACGTGGATGGCGTGCTAATAATTGTTATCTCGGTTGTTGTGGTAGTTGTTGTTGTAATAGTGCGCTGGGAAGACTCTGCGTCAATGTCATTTTGATTCCCAGTTGGCTTGGCAGAGAGTGCGTGCTGAAGCTCAGCTGCAGCGTCATTATTGCCTCGATTATTTGATGTGTTAGCGTCGCTGTCCGGCGTACGCATCTTCACCACTTCGCCACCGAATGTTACACGTTTCGGCGTGCGCGAAGGCGTCGATGGCGTTACGACGCTGTAATATTCTTGGCGGTCCCGCAAGTTTGATTTTTGCTCCACTGCATTGGAGTCATCCTCCATATCGAATTCGGAATCGCTTAGTAGACGCACCACTGCGCTTAACTCATCGCGCTCAGCATCATGTGTTGCGCTTGGTAGGCGACCGCAGACGACATCATCCTCCAAACTATTCGGGTATGTGTCCACAGACTTACGCGGACTCGAGACTGTATCGACTTCGGTGTCGAAATCATCGTCCTTTGCCTCGAGAATGCGCATAGTTAACGTATCATCATTGATTTTTATTTCAGTTTCCATAATAACTCGCGCTTTAGCCGCCTCCTCGAGCATTTGCTCCTCATCCGATGAGCGCCAGCAGCTTACCAGCGGCTGCTTTGTCAACATATGCCAAGTGCCAGCACCTCTGTTGGCATTCGCGCTCCTACCATGACCACCACCATGTCCGCTCGCACTACCAATTGCTTTGTCATCTACGCTGTAAACATTACACAACAAGTCGAATTCGCGATACGCGCTCGTAGTCATATAATCGCGAAACTCATCCTCACCCACTAGGTCACGTAATTTCGAAAGCACTTTCAGCGTGATCTCCTGATGCGTCACCTGTCCCATCTTCTGCACTAGCATATCTATGGCAGTGCGCAGTGTGTAATGCCGCTTGTTAGTGTTCAACGTTGAATGAACCAGCGCTGGTAAGGATAGCATAACACCGCATGTTAAGCGTCCACCAAATGGTTCATTGGTTATTTTCTGATTCAGCCCGATATCGAGTATCTGCAGCAATATCGTTTCGGGCATTGCCGTCTCGGCGAGATATACGCGCAGACAGTCCAGCGCGCCTTTCCTCACGGTAGGCGCCTGATGTCCTAAATTCTCCACCAATGGCGCTATCAGCGCATCCATATACGCATCCGCCTCGGCGCGCATTACCACCAATACATCGACAAAAACGCGTAGCGCATGCTGACGCACTTGCCATTCGGGATCGCGTAGACGTTCGAGAAATTCACCAAATATTTTACCCGGATAAACGTTGTCGGGAAAGGTACGCGTGCGTAGTATGTGTTCCCAAAGCGGCGTCAGCTGGACCGTAGCCGGTGCGGAAGTTGCAGCGCGGTGCAGCGTGCTTGCGGAATGACTGTGCTTGGAGGCAGCTGCCGCGCTTGAAGAAGCCGCTGCCGCAGAGCCGTAAGTACGTCGGCGTTGCAACTCATATTCGCTGCTGCTGCTAGTTCCATTGCTGAGTGTGCCGTTCACATTGCCGTTGTGGTTACTGTGGCGCTTGCCGCGCGCTGTTGCGCCACCTCCTAAAGCACCAACTTTATCGCGTTCGTCGTCGTCGTCTTGGTTGTCGTTAGCGTTTACATCCTCATTATGATAATTGTACGGAGCATTGTCGCCGCTGCCACTGCTGTCCTTGCGCGCAAACATGCGGCGAAAGAACATATTACACAAACACAGACAAAAAAGTGGAGAGCTCTGCTAGAAAGCGTATTTTAGATGACCTTTATTGAGACATAAAAGTTCTATCGATGGATATTTCGTCACAACTTACACATGCGCCACACTTTTGTTTCCGTAAATTTTCTTTGCTCTGCCAATTTAATTTCACTTTAAGCAAATAAATATAGTCTTCAACTTCCACGAGTGCACTTAATAATATCCTTGGACTTTTGCCTTAGTTTTTTTTTAGTCGAAAAAAAAGAAAAAACCACATAGCGACCGGTAGTACTTATTTCGTCTGCACTGGCTAGCGTCACTTTAATTAAGCTTCGTCACGCACTACTGCATCCGGCCAATTCACCCCTTAATGCTCGCCGAATGCATTGACCACTCGCGATGTAAAAAAAAAACTCACTCCTGCACACTTTGATTTCAATTGAATACTTTTTTTATTGAATAAAAATTGTTTCTCACTGCCTTCCTTGCTACATTCTTTGGTTTTGTTGTGGCACTTTTCTTTCTGCTGCTCTTCGATATTTTAGAATTTTCCGACCGTACTCGTGTGCTTGCAACTCGTGACTGTGCGTTTCGCCGCTACGCCATTGACTTTTGTACTTTAACATCGCTGGTAAGTTGTGTTGCTGACGATTGGCATGCCCCAAGTGACCGTTAAATGTTAAACTAACGTTTATGACTTTGGACATCAGCTGACCGACAGTGTTGCCAACGTGGCTGTAAATAAGTTTATTGAGGAAAGTAAGGAAAATCATGCATAACGGGATTTGTTATTACGCTTTTTATGACAAAGAAATATACATACGTATGTATAGGCTGAGCTGAGTGGAATATATGAATGTATGCATGTATTTATATGGCATTGATGAGCATACTTAAATACTTTTGTATTTAAAATACCAACTTTCTTGGAACAAAAATTAGTTCGACTTATTTACTCAAAAACGACGTCCGCAACCAAGATGAACTTTGAGCCAACGCACGGTTGGAGGTTGTTCCAATCTCAGAGGTGCCTTCCTTCAGGACAGTGTGAGTGTGGCACACATATGTATATATGGAATACATGTATGGTAGCCAGCTGCTCAAAAGGCAGGTTACCCGAAACTACTGAGTAAGGTCCAAAGAATAGCATAAAGCATTTCAGGTCCCTTAAGGACCATTCTAAACAAAGCGCTAGAAGTGTTAACCAATTTGAAAGCAATCAATTTGTTAGAAGAATACGTGGCCGCTGCTTCGGCGCTCAGACTAAAAAGTATGGTGCTATGTAAGAGGATCGACATACACCAATACCGAAAAGAGACTTGGTGGATGAAAGTCTGGAAATATACGAGGAAGTGAGGTTGTAAAAAGGTAATGGAAGAGACTCGTGCCCCAAAGTTGTAATTCGACTCAAACATCCGCACCCTTTAAAATAGTTAAGCATATCCCTATAAGAGGCCTCAAAGACTCCTCGACCTGTGAGGTTAACCCGGAAAAGTGGTCCGGAGTTACCAAATCGGTTACAAGATAAAATAATGTTGTTCTAAATATACCATCTGCATTTCAAAATCTTCGTTTTTCAACCAACCAAATTTAGACAAGTTCAGTTTATCAAGCGAAGTCACATCAGGATACGTAATAAATTTGAGTGTTTCCGTTAACCCCTTGAATTCAGAAACATCGATGGAATTTCTTCGATCAGAGAATTTATTACCAAAGAAAACTCTTCGGTGCCTCTTTCACCGTCGGGTTTTTCATGTTATGTTGGATTTCCACTAGGCATTAAATAACAAAAATGAAAAATGATAAAGAAGATATAAAAACGGCAAAGAAGGCTTCGTGGTCCAAACTTTGGGATAAGTGCAAACCGAAAGCAGTCTAAACATTCTAAAACATCTAATGAACGTCCACTTTTGTGGGTGTTGCAACAAAGGGGAGACAGTCATCAGTTGCAAAAATCCCTAAGGTACGGTGCAAATTAGAGCGATACGATATGCGATGCGATATGAAATGCGCGCAGTTCACATAGGCAAGACGGTTTAATCGACGAAATCGTCAGTGAGAATAAAGTAGCTTTGGCTATTATATACTTTCAGACCTATATATCACAGGATCTGGATGGAGGGCTAGTCTCCTCCTTTAGGTACATACTTAAGCAAAGCCATGGAGTGGATCCACCGATCAAAATAGATAGGACTTTGGGATAGACTTAAGGGAAGCGGACTCTCATAAAGGCAGTAAGTAGTTAGCTCCATTTAGATTTGGTTTGGGTGGGTTAACGGGCTACCGAGGCTACAGACGTGTCAGAGAGGGTTCCACATTGGTCTCGATCGATGATCTGATTTTCATAATAACTCCGAATAAATGTATAGGTAAAGTCCAAGTAAAGCATTTCAAGTTTTCTTTTAGTACCGGTTTCAAAATACGCAACGTATTTTTCGTACATACATAAAATCTTTCCGGCCACCAATTTTGTTAACTCACCACGAAATTGGTCACTTGCGCACTCATCACATTCTAACATATGTTCATGCGGTTTGTTTTTACTTGACTTTCCCACTAAAGTTGCTAAGCACTGCAGGACATTAGAATTTGTTTACAAATTTTGAACGTTGGGGAATAGTGGAAGGTAGCTAAGGAGACACCACAAACCAAATAGTCAACTTGCCGTTGGTTTGGTGTTTAGTCAGTTAGAGAGCGCGATGTCAAAGGAGCCACTCAAAGTTGGATAACTAGAGAAAGTAAGTAGATATATATGTATTCGGCATTATTGCATCGTCCATATGAATTTACTTTAATTATTTCCATTCGTTTTGCGCTGCACGCTATTAAAAAAAAAAAGTGTGTCACTAAATATATGCTAAATGCTAAATTGGCAGAAAAATGGGAGCAAGTTGAATTGTATCGCAATTATTTCAATTGAATAGAAAAAGCGTTACAAATTGTTTAGAAGCACACAAGAATGTAGAATTTTCAAAGGAGATTGGTAAGTAAAGTACTGAACAAAAAACACCTTAAATTAAAAATATAATTAGCCATTTATTCCTAATGAATCAAGCCGCACGCAAAAAAATTTAATGGACAGTTTTCAGTTCAAGTCAACCCTATGAATATGGAATGAGAAAATCATCAATTGTATGATATGACTACGGTGACCATCCGTCCTGTATTATACGGGACAGTCCACTTTTTTGACCCATTGTCCTGGTAATTTATTTATTTTATACGGGACGCCCCAAATGTTCTGTATTACTTTTTATGTCCCGTATTTGTCCCGTATTCGGTGTTTCGACGCCTTAACAACTCATTAAAATGGCATGTGATGTTGTTATATGATCGCAATTTTCTGCATTTCTATTTTCTAATCTGAATGCCTGTGATTTGAATCGCGGAATACATAAAGTGACCTAAATAGAAATTAGGACTCGACATTTTAGTAAGTTTTGGCTATTTTTCCTTAGTTTATTTAATGTGTATTATTTATTTTATAAAAGTAAAGCTCTTTTCCCAACAAAAGCCATTTAACACCAAATTTCCAACTTTGTGCTAAAAACTATAAAAATTAATTCCGAAATGTTTCACTAAAATTACAACTTTTTTAATTAGAAGTTTGAGAAAAACTTTTGTTTGCAATTTTGTAACTCATTAAAATTGAGTATAATAAAGTGCGAGTAGAAAGTTCTGCTCATTTACTTCGCTTTCAAAAAAAAAATGATCGAACATACTTATGCCGAATTTCCACTAGGCATTAAATGACAACATTTTTAATGACAATGTTGAGCATTAAAAAACACCCTTATCATTGCGTTCATAAAAAAGTCATTCTGTCTGTTTCCACTTGGCACTTTTTAAATGGCGTACATTTTTTATCATTATATGCCCAGTGGAAATTCGGCATTATTTTGTTTGAAAAAAATTCGTAACCTTGCCACCAAAAAATAATGCCCCAAAATTAATGGTAAGCCTTAGCGACTAAAACTTGCACTTTATTATACTAAAAATTAACGAATTTTTTTTAAAAATTTTACGGGATAAAAGAATACTGTTGCAGGGCTAATACATCTAGGATCATTGAATAAGGCTTTACGATCTGTAAGCTGTTGTGGAAAAAATTTGCAAAATTATTTTTTGTCCCGTATTCAGCTCTCATAAATATGGTCACCGTAATCTTACGGAATTTTCATGAGCTACTTGGGAATTTTTGGGACCAAATATTTCGGATTTTTTGGGACTATTAGGCACGGGTTCACATTAGAGCGATACGATACCCGATGCGATAGGCGATGCGATAAGCGAAATCGTGTCGCTCGGCCGATACGCAAGCGATATATGCCGCCGCAGTGTCGCTGTCAGGCAAGAGTGCACAATGTTCATCGTTTCCCACCAATTCCCACGTACTCAGCATGTCGATGTTGATTTCATATCGTATCGCTCTAATGTACACCGTGCCTTAGGGGACTATTTGGCATTTTTCAGGACAATGTCGGGATTTTCGAGACTATTTTGGAATCTTGGTACTATTTCGGGATTTTGCCGTTGTGGTCGTCTTAAAATTGGTTTATAAATAAAAAAAATGGTTTTATTTTTAATTGCATATATAAATTTTATTTGTTCACTAAAATTTGTTTGTAAAAATTTACTTAAATACTTACAAGTAGCAGAAACATAAACTTTTGCTTGGAAATATTTAGGATAGCTTGGATTAAAATATAACCAGTTAACAAAAGGACTAAATTATTTAATAGAAACCAAATAAGATGTACTAAAAAGCTTTGAAGAAAAGTCGTAATTTGTGCTATCATATACATACATAGTTATAAATTTATGTTTTTTTTTTGTTTTAAATACAGATCCGTGAAATTTTTATACATACAGATTTTTTGAATTAAAGCTTTTCGGAAGATTGCTTTTACCTTTTAGAACTAGTTAAGTTATCATTTGTTATAATTCATCATAATTTCTAATTCGCTCTTTGTTCATTTCAACTGCTAATATTATTTTAAGTAGTTGGTTCATAGTAGTTTGATTTATAAATTATTATGCGCAAATCTTATGGCAAGATTTCTAGTTAATACAAGTTTTAATTTAATACATTGGAGACGAGTCGTTTTTTAAATGCATTACGATATTTGAAATTATTTTTAATATAGCACACACAAAATTTATGCTTAACCCGAATTCTAAACACTAAAAATTTTAAACTAATTACTAACATAATAGAATTATTTAACCATTTTTGTTTTAAAATATGAAATTTATAACTATTTTCAAATCTTATACAACTGTTATTGCTATCAGAGTTAGGACAGAGACCTTGATACAAGGCGTTACAACACAATTGGTCTTAACACAAAATTTGTTATATTCCTTAGACTATCTACGCCAAGTCTAAACTAAAAGTTCTGCGGAATGGAATACTTAAACTAACTACAAATATATTGAGGCATTGTATTATTAAGTTTACAATAGAATTTTCACAAATATTTGGCAGTAGGAGTACAGAGTGAACAATTTATACAGCTTTTAATGTTAAAGATCTGGTTTGATGCCAGAAAAAAAGAAAAAAAAAATTATATTAATTTTTTTTTTTCAATTTCTGCTTGCGTATTGGAAGTCTGTGTACAAACGCTAATATTTTTATCATTGTTTCAATAACTTTTTTAAATCCCAAAGACACAGTCAAGTTATATAGCAGAAATGTTAATGCCAGTTACTTTGCTGCTAAATAAACTATCCTAAACTAAACGAAAAACTACAGTTACATGAATATACTAAATCACGTATTTAGCTCTTTTTTCCTCTCTGACCTTTACTTATTCTTCCAACTCACTTACGCTCTCCATCTCACATACACACACTCTCTTTCTCTTTCTCTCTCTCTCTCGCTTTCTCTTCTCCACCGAGCAGCTACGCAACTTCAGCACCTTCAACCAACTACACATACTCCTCGGAGTTCTTTTGCGTATTTCCCTGCATACATAATGTTGACTGTAGCTGTTGTTGTTCGCCCACTGCATCTGGTAGTTCGGTAATATCCTTAATCACACCCATGAGGCTCTCGAAGTTCGGTCCCCAGTTAAGCAGATAATTCCAACCCAAACTTGGCTGCGACGGTGAACCGGGACCATTTATTTGCCTATAAATACCGCCCATACGCGTTGATAGATCATCATCGCTGGCGACTAGAGTGCTGAGTGAGCCACGAAAGGACGAATCGAAGCCATCGTACGAGTGTGGTGGCATTGGTGGCACTTTACCCATGCTCGGACCCACTCCATCGCCGCTCATGGCACGCGCTACAGCGCTACGATCTGGTCGATCATCAGGCACCGCCTTACTTGACGGATATTTTGCATCACCATTTAAGCTGTTGTTATCGTATTCGATTTCCGAACATGTGAAACTATCATTGCCACTTTCATCGGTTGAGCTGGAGCTGTGCGCATCCACATCAGCATTGTGCAGGCCACCGCCGAGCGCGAGATGATGTGCGCCGCCGGGTACGCGCGGCGCTTCGCTGCTGGACGACACCGCATCCAGCGTTGATACTAGACTGGATGTGCGCGGTCGCACATTTAGACGCTCAATTTCTTCTGCGGTTAGCCCGATGGGCGCTTGCGCGGGCGATTGCGCCGATACGCCGGGCTTCTGTCGACTCGCGCTCGAGCTTTGTCCAGATAACTGTGACATTACTGGGCTATTTAGGCTACGCTCGCTATTGCTATGCAAGGCATCCTTGCCGACGCCCCCAGAACTTGAGGTGGTGGCGAGCAACGCGCTCTGCAGTGGCTTGCCTGAAATGTCGTGCAGTGTTAGTATGCGTGGCTGCTGTGAACTCAATTCAGAACTGGGCGAAAGACGCGCCAATGGCGTACTCTGGTGTGGGCGTGGTGTGCTCGAAGGTGGCGGTGGTTGACTAGCTTGAGGCGGCACACGTGGCACAAATGGTCCGCCAACACCGACGCCGTGACGTGGTGAATGCCTATGCTGCTGCTGGGCAGCTGTGGCTTGGTGCTTGTGGTGCGTGTAGGAGGCGACTGGCGCTGGTGTGGCTTTGTACTTGCGTACGCCACCCGCCTCACGGTAACCCTTGTAGTGATACACGATGTCTATGTCCGAGGGAGCGATTGAGCTGGCGTTCTCCAGATCGTAATGCTCTGGATATTCCGAACCCAAGTCAACAGAGTTTGTGTGGTCATGTGGATGATGCGCCTGGCTGGGTGGCGGTATAGGTGGATGATGTTCGTCACGGAGGGGTGGACTTTTGCTAACCACCTCACGCTCGATTATATCTGGCCGTTGTGGTCGCTGTTGCTGATGGTCGTTGGAGTTTATTTCGCGCTCTTTAAACTTCTTTGAAATCAATTCGGGACCGACCATATGATGGCCGCCAACACCGCGTATTAAATCTCCGCTGTCAACGTGATAGCTTACTGCACCATCGCCGGCGTGCACTCCCCTGCCACGCGACAAAACATGATCTGTCTGGTTTTGTGAAACTGCTGCGCCTCCGCTGTGTTTTAATTTGAAGCCAGGAACGCCGCAACTCAAACTGCCTATCTTTTCCTGCTTACCACGAAACCGATAAATGACATAAGAACCCGAAATGGCCACAACCAGTATGACGCAGAAGACAATCACCAACGTGATGCCTATGCTAACGGGGTCGGAAGCTTGTGCCGCGCCTATACCCAAGTCACCTATGCAGCCATGTAATACTTTTCCGCGCGTCAACACCTCGTTGAAGACGCTGCCCGAACCATTGAAGGGTTGCACTTCGTTGTTGATAGTGAAGTTCGCAATGCAGCCTTCATAGCTAATTGGCATATTTTCCTGCTGCGGATAATGTTCGCGCCGTACACCTGCTATGGAGAGCACGGTTAAGTATGGATCGATGAAGTCGTGCACACCAGCCGAATCAAGCTCCTCGCCTACTTTGCTGCCATCTATCAACAAGCGTAGCACACGGTTCGATGTTAAAAGTGTGAGGTTATGCCATCTGCCATCATTCAAGTTTTCCGGCTGCCGAATTGTCATATTCACTGCAGTGTTTTGCTTGGAGTAGTACACTAACTTGCCGCTTTGCAATTCTATTGCGGTATATTGTTTGTTGGTGGCCGCAAAGAGCAGCAAGCCATCTTCTTTGTAGGTTCGAAAAAGCAGACTTACGATCTTCGGTAGGTCCACAATTTGCGCAAGCGCGGTAAAGTTATCACTATTAACGGTAAAGCGTCTGCGACGCGCAATATCATACGACCATAAATTGGTGGCGGCGTACAAGCTGTCCAGTAATTGCATGCGTCGATGCTTTTCAGATATTTTAAACTCCACAAAAGCGCCGTTCATCACAGTAACGGGCTCCAAGGAGCTGTAGCAATCTGGCGACAGTAGACTGGCGCCACATTGGCACATGCCGTATGCCAGCGATCCATGCATGTGCCAAAGTCACCGCAAAGTGCAGCGCCGGATCGTGGGGCAAACTCTGCTGACAGGCCACCATTATTTTTGCGGTTGCAAGTCGGTAATACATCACGCTGCTTCAAGGGACTGCTCATATTCAACGCACGTCCGTTGACCGACACGCTGTGTACGCAACCAACCAGATCGTCTGTGTGTATTTGACCCGGACGCTCCAACACTGGGTCTGCGGAAGCCAGGCCACCAATAAGCAGTGGCTGCTTGTTGAAATTCAAAGTACTGTGAGAAAGTAAAAAGTGGATAATTTATGTTTTTACTACGAAAACTAGCTATCAACTTACCCTATGGGTCCTACATCCTGCGCATAACAGCTGACATCACCGGGGCGGCACTCCTCACAAACATCACCGTTCTCCGAACACTTGGCACGCTCAATGACATGACGCGCCGTTACGCGTGGCTGTAACCTTGTGCCACTGTCCATCAGCCAAAGTATCTTTACTACTGGCACCCACGATCACAGTTGTGATGGCTGTGCGCGCGCCACCGAACGAGAAGAAGGCCTTTCCTTTCACCACCTCAATTGCTACAAAGTCAGATCGTCCACCCGTTTGTATGCCATAGTTGTAGAGCAGCAAGCCATCTGGTTTAGTGGTGGCAAAATGATGGAAATATCGTTAGTCGCAGCATCCAATGCTGGGAAAACCATGTAGGACAGCTCCTGAAAACCAAACGTAGCACGCTCGCACTGCCGTCCATAGCGTCCATCCACACAACTGCACTTGTAGCCCGGCTTCAAGCTGACACACTGCCCACCATGCAAACATGGGTTGGGACGACACGAATCGGACACATGCTCGCATTGATTTCCACGATAGCCCGGTCTGCAGAGGCAAAAGAAAGAAGCGCCGTCGGGGCTGTGCCTGCAAGAGCCACCATTGCGACAAGGATTGCTGGAGCATACATCACCACGCTCCTGCTGACATTGCTTGCCCTCGCGGTTCGGTGGACATATACACTGAAAGTCATAGCCAACGCGGCGACATGTGCATTCGCCTCGCACGGATTTGGCGCACACGGATCCTGTTGTTTGTCACATTGCACTCCTGTAAAGCCATCTGGACATTTGCAGCTTAGTCGTCGAAACACGTGGCCCACTGAAGATCAACGATGGACTGTCGATTATATTAGCGTATGTGTGCCTTCATGCACATGAATTTCAGCAGTGCACATACCGCCATTTTCGCAGGCCCCTCGATGCTGAGGTGCAAGGGCTATAGCCGATTAACACGCTCCCGGTTGTTTGCACAAAGCGTTCGATGGACTCACGCTTCTTTATCAAACGCTCGACGATATAGCGTGGCGTGCGGTAGGAGAGATTTGCGGCACGTACCGCCAATATGAGTTCGACGTTACTGGTGTGTTTTTCGCCAGCGTTGCGTATGCTGTACAATTTGAGTTCGTCGCTGGGTTCGAAAGCTGACTTCAGAAGTTCCACAAAGTTGCGGTAGTGCATGGCTAAGAAGTGCTCGGCTGTCATTTCGCGCACCAGACCGCAACGGATTGCGCTACTGCATCGGCATCGAAGCTTTGGAAGCTCACCGTTACGGTGGACACAACACTGCTATGTTTAGCCGTCACTGCCCGAGAGGTGTACGAGTAGCCATTGACGGTCGTCTGATAGGTGGTGTGCAAGTCGCAAGCGCTTGGTATCAACCAGTATCCGGGTGGACTGACTGCGAATTTGTGGTGATTTTACATTTATAATCGCCAGTGATGTCTGGATCATTTGGATGTACATCAGCTATTTTGCCGATTCGGTATTTCATCGTTGTAGGTATTGAGTAGCACGTGCGCCATGCGCGGCGTGGATGGACTATCGTTTGATCGAGCACCTTTATGGTGAGTACATGCTGTGCGCGCTGGCGTGGTTCACCGTTGTCCTCAACCTCGATGGCCGCTTCCTAAGGTGGGAGTCACCTCGCGGTCGTAAGTTTTTGTAGATTTCACCAAACCTGAGTGCTTGTCAATCGTAAGATAAGATTTGTGTTTTCCGCCCACGAGGTAGTACGTGAATGGTCCACCATTTGGGGCAAATCAGGATCTGTAGCAGTCAGCGTTCATTATGGAGGTATCCGCCGGCTCATTTTCCGATATGTAACCAACCAATCCGTTTGGCGCAGAAGGTCGGACCGTTATCGTTCACGTCCTCCAATTCAATTTTAACTGTTGTGGTGCCAGTTTGTGGGGGCACGCCTGTATCGATCGCCCCACAATCAAATGAATACCAGGCATCGTTTCACGGTCCAAGCGCGCGCCGTCTCAATATCGACCACTTTGCGGATCAACCTTAAAATGTTTGGTTTAAGTTGCCATTGATAATCGAGTAGCTGAACTGATTATTCTGCGGACGCACATCTTTGTCCACTGCCTTGACGCTGGTAACTTTCGTGCCCACTGGAGCTGCCTCCGAAATGCGTGTCGTGTATAGCGTTTTAAGGAACTCAGGCGGATCATTGCCATCCTGTATGGAGATGATTACCTGTGCCTCATCGGTGTCATTACCGCGTATACCGCCATAATTCTTTGCCATTACGGTGAGCACAACGCGACTTTGGGTTTCGCGGTCGAGATGCCGCGACACATACATAATGCCAGTCAGGGTATTGATGGAGAAACCTCTATCATTGCTGGAGCCCACCAGCAGGTAGTAGACTTTGCCATCTTCGCCTGCATCCTTATCGGTGGCCTGTAAGAGCCCACGAAGTGCCGACCTCCGCCGACTCGGATACATCAAAGTGGAAGACGGGCTTCACAAACTGTGGATAGTATTCGTTGATGCCTGTAATGTGTACGATGACCATAGCGGTGCTCTGCATTTGCGAATCTGGATTGGCGGCCATTATTTGCAAATTGTAATCACGGCGTTCTTCGTAATCGAATGTTACGCTGGATATGATCTCGCCAGTGCTCGAATTGATCTTGAAGAGGTTTTTGCCTGTGCCGCTAGTGATGGAATAGCGTATGATGGCGTTCTTCGGCGAGTCTTTGTCGGTCGCATGCGCTTTAAAGACAAACGTATTCGGCGGACGATTTTCTGGTATGAGAGCATGGTATTCGGATTGATTGAATACGGTGGGTTGTCATTGATGTCTGTCAATATTACGGTCAACATACAAAAGCCTTCTTTGGTTTGTAAGCCAAGTCTTCAACGGTTATATTGAGGTGATAGACTTGTATCAAATCGTAGTCCAGGGGCTGCAGAATAGTGACAGCGCCTGTATCTTATGCACCATAAACTCTTTGCGCTCATTGCCCCCGAGAAGTAATATCTCAGCATGCCGTTTGGACCCCCATCTTTGTCCGAAGCGGTAACGCTAATTAGAGTTGTGCCAACTGGTCATTCTCGGGTACTATAACTTGATAACTGAGTGCTGTAAACTCAGGTGTGTACATATTTTCGCCCGTCACCACGATGGTAGCACGTGTTTCGTCCGCAAGTGGTGGCACGCCGCGATCGGTAGCGCGTACGTCACTAAAAATACCGTATCCGCTTTCACCCAAGTGGCTTTGATACCGCTATCCAACCATCGTGCTTGTGATGTGAAGTAACGGTGCCATTGCCTTGCAGCAGTGTATAGTCGATCTCCGCATTTACACCATAGTCGAGCGCGTCCACAGCATGCACCTTGAGTACACGCTGCCGCTCGTAGCTTTCTCCGGCACTGGCGCAATGTAGGTAGCCTTTTCGAATTTCGGTGGATTATTATTAGCATCGACGATGTTGATATTCACCAAGCATTCCGAGTTTAAAGGCGGCTTGCCATTATCTGTGGCCACACGATCATCGAATACATATTTTCTGGTGAGGATTCCAGTGCGAATGCTTGTATTTCATCTTGCGCTTGCTGAAGATCTCACCGGTGGCCGGATCGATGGTAACAAGTCGGAGGGATGCTGCAGCGATATGAAATAACGAATTGGGGCCTTGCTTGTCACGATCGGTGGCAATAACTTGCCCTACAAAGGCGACAGCACGCTGAGTCGGGAAAGTTGAAACTGTAGTAGCTATGTTCAAACTCAGGCGCATTATCATTCTGATCCTGCACGGTTATGGTGATGGGCGTCTCGGAGCGCCACGCGCCATCCGATGCGACAATCTTCAACAGATATTCGTCTTGTTGCTCGCGATCGAGGTAGCCAGCGACTGTGACATTACCGCTTATGGTATCGATTTTGAACTTTTTGCCTGGATTTTCAGTAAAGCTGTAGGTGGCATTTGCATTTGCGCCAATGTCCAAATCTGAGGAGGTCACTTGTATTACAAAGCTGCCAATATTTGCATTTTCCGTAACGTTTACAGAAAAGAGGCGCGTAAACTTCGGTGGATTGTCGTTTTTGTCCAACAAGTTAATTTGTACGCTCGCAGCGCCCGTCAATTGTGGCACGCCTTGATCGACTGCCTCGACGAGCAGCTCGTACGCGCTAATTTCCTCGCGATCCAAGCGCATTGTGGTGTATATCTCACCAGAGTCGGAGTCAATTTCGAATGTACCCTCAAAGTCGTCAGCTAGCCGATAGGACAATTCGCCATTATCGCCCGCATCACGATCGGTGCCATGGACTTTTACAATGAATTGCGGTGGTGGCTCTTCTTCAAGTATTTCAGCGTAGTAAGTCAGCTTATCTAGGACGGGCGCATTGTCATTTGCATCGGTCACATTGATGGTGAGCAACGCAACGCTCCGTAGGCGTGGCTGATCAGAGTCCGATGCTTCGATCCACACTTCATAAGTGTGCGCCATTTCGTAGTCCAACCCATCTTTGCCAACTTTCACCACTCCGGTGCTGGCGTCAATATGTACGGCATAGCCGATGTTGCCACCTGCAATGGCATACTTGATATTGCCCGCAGCGCCTTTCTTCGGTGAGCTTGCCATGATAGTTGTAATAACTTTGCCCTCGGGCACATCTTCGGACAGCATAAATTGCCTATTCGGCGTGTTAGCGAAATTCGGAAAGAGCGCGGTTGGCCGCAACAGTACAGTAAGATCGGCGCTGGAGGAACGCGGCTCAGTGCCCTGATCTATAGCATACACTACAATGCTGTAGATTGTATCGAAACTTGTATTCTCGCGCGCACTCAATGGCGCCTTAGCCTTGATCACACCACTCTGCGAGTCAATCGAGAACTTATCGATATCCTTGCCGCTGATATTGTAAGTGATAAGCGCATTTGCGCCATCATCCAGATCCGTTGCGCGTGCGCCAAATACAAATTCGTCAGCGCTTATGGCGTCGGGCACATTGACATTGAAGCTGGCCGCATTGAAGTTGGGCGTATTGTCGTTCACATCGAGCACGGTGATGGTGAGATTGACTGCGCTGGCGCGTGGCTCCGTCGCCGAGCTGTCTTGCGCCATCAGCGTCAGATAGTAGATGGCGGTTTCCTCGCGATCGAGCACGGCAGCAGTTGTAATTTCGCCCGTCTGCGCATTGATATGGAATTTGTCGATTTTCTCGCCAAGCAGCGTGAAGCGCAACTTTGCATTAGCGCCGCTGTCCTTGTCCGTGGCAACGGGTTGTAGTACTTTGGTGCCGGCGGAAAGATTCTCCTGTACGCTAGCCAGATAGAAGGGACGCGCGAATTCCGGACTATGATCGTTCATGTCTTGCACAATGAGGCGTACGATGCCGGTGCCGGTAAGCGGTGGAGAACCTGGGAAAAACGAAGAGAAAATAAGATGAATGCGCTTGTTAGAAGAATGAGTAAAGAGCATCTATATATGTATATATTCTTTTGGGCAAATCTAAGATAGTAAAACTNTAATAAAATGAATGCGCTTGTTAGAAGAATGAGTAAAGAGCATCTATATATGTATATATTCTTTTGGGCAAATCTAAGATAGTAAAACTGCTGCGACGGATATGATTTGTATGTACAGCTCGTTTGCGACAGAATTACATTACAATTATTTCAGCAGAATGCAGCAGCAGCACGTAGGAATAACTCTAAAAATACGATTTTAAATAGACTNGATGCAGCAGCAGCAGCAGCACGTAGGAATAACTCTAAAAATACGATTTTAAATAGACTAGACTAGACCAGACCAGCAAGCACTGCAGTTATCTTTGAGTTTTTATAACTATGCAGTAGTAGTACCACCACAGCCTAACTCGCCGCTGTGGGCTTATCAAGATAAAAACTGTGCAAACAAAAAGCGCGCTGGCGTTGTTGCCTTACATTGTGGCCTTAGCGAAACAATACATTTTACGCGTTCTAATTTAACGAGCAAATTGAAATATTGCCATAAAAGGATGAGCCACAGCAAGCGCAACGATTGGACAATATGCAAAATAGCTGCTGCACACACACACACATACATGCATACACACATACATACATACATTTGAAATTCACATGCGCTCGCTATACATCCGTTGTTGTTGTTTTTTGTTTTTTTGCTCACAGCAAGTTGGTTGGTGGTCCCTTTCGGTTGAGACAGTGATTTTTTTCCGCTTTGGCGCGGGTGTTGTTAACTCTTGCACTCAAATTGCGAACAGCTCTAATTAAACTATCCATGTTACGGGTAGCATAGTGGTGCCAAAAAAGGGTTGCCGCGGTGTTGTATTTGCAATTTGCAATTTGCAATTTGCAGTTTGGTAACAACAAACGGTAAATGCTGATTGCTAGCGTATACTATATTATGTACATAACGGTCGTGACAATTATGCATATTTTCATGTGTGTAAATATTTGTTTCCGATATTGCTAATGAGATTTCATAGGATAATGTTAACAAAGCTATGGGGGCCATGTGATTTTGCTATTTTGTGATATTTGTTGTATGAAGTTGCGCAATAGGAGTGGAGTGGGAATAGATTTGAAAATTGCATTTCCTGTGATATGAACTCACTCACTTAGAGTCACACGAGGTTTGGACACTCTAGAATCTTGGACGATCTTCAAGTAGACTTCAGGCGCAGTCCCGCCAACTGGACTAAAGAATCACCTCCATACAAGAATCCCCACAAAGAGTGATTGGGAATAGGATTCGGTGCTGACTCAGCAACCATCTACACTAATGGCTACAAGTTGGATCTGGAGGTACGAAGGGGGGTATGTACTCGCAAGAACTCAAACTTAGCCTTAATTTTCGTTAGATTAAATGAATAAACGAAGCTGCAAGACACCAACTTGGCAAATACAACGGCGTTTCGCTACTCGCCTAGAATAGTATTCGACAGCACGAGGTTCCAGGTCTGGTTGGGACGGATCAGCCATTCTGCTGAGAATATCGCGGATGTGGCTTAATATGTCTCAATGGACACCGGAGTATCGAACACAGGTCATGCCATGGAATTGGATATGAATCGGCTGTATTTATAGAGAATTTTGGTGAAACACTTGAAGTTCTGCAATAGGATGGAGCAATGGCGCATACTACATCAGCCACATCTGAAATTCTGCAAACTGCATTTCCATGTTGCTCAATCCCTCTTTTCTTGTATCCGAGCGCACTTGTCCCCAAGGGTATTATAACTTAGTTCCCATAACGTTTGTTTGTAATAGCCAAAACGAATACAAATGTATGCATAAATGATCAGAAAGAGAAAAAGAAATGGATTAAGCCATATCTGTCTGTCCGTCCGTCTATGCACAAGATAACTCGAATAAAAATTGAGATATCTTAACGAAACTTTGTATGTGTACTCCATTTCAGCGTATGGTATTGAAAATAGGCAAAATCGGACAATAACCACGCCTACCTCCCTCCCATGTAACGGCAGTTTTCAGAAATACGCAAACAGTGATATTTTAGTAACTACTGGAGATTATTCACTCAAAATTGATATTTATAATAAGTTTTAGACGAAAAATAAGAATATTATAAATTTTTTGGGAAATGAGCGTAGCCACGCCCACTTATGATTACATGTGTATAACTTGGTAACCGCTCCACCAATTTCTCCCAAACTCAGTACAGTTGTTGGCCTTGGTACCACATACCAATTGGCGCAAAATTTTTTAAATCGGAAAATAACTACGTTGACAATAAATATGAATTGAAAATGCAGGACAATCAAAACAAAAAAAATATACCTTTATACATATGTAAATTTACGTAGTATAAAAATAAAAATAATTGCAATGTTTTTTACGTCGAAATTTTTTTGTTATTTTTTTTTTTTTTGTAAAAATATGGTTAATTCTTTAATCAAAACCACATAAGTAAAACAATCACTATACAGAATTTAGAAAAAGTAAAAAAAAAATAATCACAATTCGACCAATTTGTACCACACTCGGTTTGATTAATGTGCTTGCCACATAAAATCAAAACGTTGAAAATTATTGAAATCGGACTAAAACGATGCCCACTTGTCTTATATAATGGTAAATTTCAGAAATGCTTGAAACTTCGATATTTCGAAATTTAGGGATACTCACAACAATCGCTTGAAAAGAAGTAATATTATTATGAAATTTTGGAAAGTGGGCGTGATACCGCCCCCATACATCTATGTAAGTTTATCACATTATATCTAACTGAACCTTTTATCGAAGATGTTTGAAATAGGGATAAAACCACCCCTACTTACCATGTAGCGGTAGTTTTCGGAAAGGTAAAAAAACTAAATTTAATACATGCGCCGGGTATTAAATGTTCGGCTCCGCCCGAACTTAGACCTTAGATCTTTGTTTTTGTTTTTGGTTTTTGTGAATTGCACCTGCCAGCAAGATTGTCCAAATTAACCCTACTTCTTTTTGTGAAATTTAAAATTTTTTTGAAGTCATGAGCCTTTGTCAACAAGCCCGCAGTCATTATATATATACTTAAAATCCATTCTACTAATACCTCCCGCTCTTTGGTTCGATCCTGTCGAAAGAGTACATTTCCAGAGCTGCTTAAGCAACAACAACAGCGCGATCTAGATTTTTCAACATGAAGGACATTCGGCTGATTAGTGTGTCTCTTTTGACCAGCGTATAATCATACTTTCCTGTTGTGAGAATCAGAATTATCCTAACTTTTCTTCAAAGTTCGAATATAGTAAGATCAAGTGTTCATGTAAACCTCCCAATAAATTTGTATTCCACCAGACCTAGCTGGTCGGCTGACTTAAAGCCACTGTCCCCTCAGAACCCATCCAGAATGCGATGTACCAGTTTATAACGGTGGTAAACTACTCAATTCCATATGTTAACCTTTCCATTCGGAAAAGTCCTAAACCACTTACACAGGCTGGCAGCCTGCTTCATGTCAAGGATGTCACTCACTGAAGATGCCTCTAAGTATATACATATAAGAGCTAAATTTTTAAAAATGTCCATACTATATTGCTTCTGACCTATCCTCTTCATTGCGGGCCTTTTAGGGCGTTTAGTTAGTAGTTTCTCGCTACTTCAAACCTCCTTGATAAGGATACCCACACCAAAGCAGGATGGTAACTGAAAATAGTGAAAAAAAACTGGATAGTAACCACGCCCATATTTCATATAACAGTTTATTTTATGAATGCGAGTGCGATGAGTAAATAAAGTTCAATTTCATCAAAATTCACCAAAATTAGAAGTTTTTAAATTTTCATATAGCAACTATCAGAGTAAAATAGCAAAGCCAATCAAAAGAAAATTTCCAATGATATGCTCGAAATACCGAAATACCATTTGACGCAAATTCAAACCACAAATTCCGCTAAAGATGTGATGAATGAAGGCATAGCCGCTTATGCGTGTGACGTACCGAAATACGGTACAACAGAGCCAAAAAAAAAAAGAAAACACCGACAGACATATTTACTTATATATTTTCACTTAAGAATACATATTTCAACAATAAGACGGCGGCGCTCATTTGGAACGCACTAAACCACACTTATAGGCACTGGGCTGCTGGCGAGAATTCAAAGCTGATAGGCGATCACACACGAACCTGAGAATGGCTGGAGGCGAGCAAAAGTACAAAAAAAAAAAACAATGGTAAGAATACAAAAGCGCAGGCAGTGAAACGCATTTTGGTGCCCAGCAAGATAAGTGTGCAGAATGGCTGGCTTGAAAAAAAGGTGGTCGGTTGGATGCTGGCGCGCGGCCAGTGGGTTATGCGTACATCCAAGTTGGTTGCTAACTTGGTTAACTACTGAATTTTAGTTTTTGGTTGCGCGTAGAAACTTTCCACGTCAACAGCAATTGACGAAAAGTGCACGCGCATGCGCATCTCCATGCATTTTCCACAGGCGTACAAGCTCACGCACAACGCAGGCCAGGCACAAAGGTGAGCATGTGCGCGCGCGCTGCCTACTACCCACCAAGTGCAGAGTCAAGCCACCAAGTGCAGGTGTTGTTGCTGTTACTGCAGCTCCCTTCTTGTTGACTGTTCGAGTCAGTCAGCCAGCCACGCTGCTGCGGCTGCTGAAGCTGTTGAGATGTACGATCTCAGGCGCAAAAGGCGCAACTAATCGAGCAACGACGAATGAGTGGCGGGAAAAACGCTTGTTAGGCAGACGTTCAACAAAGGCAGCTTAGTCAACGGAAAAGTAGAAGACAAAAAAAAAAATGAAATGTGGAAAAATGCACTGGGAAGAAATGTGCAGAAAATTTGTGTAAGAAAAAAAAGCTGCCGAGCAAGGCCGGTGCTAGTGGTTGAGCGAATATTTCGTACTGCAAGAGGAAAGCAAAACAAAAAAAAAAATGACAAAAGCAATAAAGACAAAATA